GTTACAACTCATTTGGTTAGAAACAGACCATTGAACCATTGATAACTTTCGATCCTTGCATTTATTCAAAATGTGATCTTGAGCAAAGTTGTAGCTGGGAAAATTTCCTACAAGCACAGTTGAAATTTTTTGAAGCAGACTAATATGGTGAATTATTAGATGGACATTAACAAAAATCTTGGTTTTACCATAGTAATTCCCATACAAACTTCAAATGGTTTGTGCCATCTCAGTTTCTCACCAAATGGGTTCAAATTTTGAGAGGTTAGTCAGGATCCGATTTGGAATCGTTTAAGTATTGTGGAGCGAAAATTTCAAAAATTGCATCACTCTAATGTTCATACAAACAAGCCGCCATTACCAAGCATGGAAAGCTGGATAGGAGATGATTTTGCAGGATTTCATGCCAATATACACCAGTAAGCCAAAGTAACAGGAGGAGAATAGGACGCAAAAGTTACACTGATAAAATTTCAAAGATTGTTTTTATGTGTCCCACACATGAATTTTTGCAATGTGATCAACAAATAATATCTTTGTGTCGGACACATACTTAATATGTGTACACATAAAAGCCATGTGTAACCACAAATAGTATTCATTTGACTCATAAATTTCATATGTGCTTCTATGTGGATTCTGTTTATGTGTGGTCACATGAAAATCATGAGGAATTTTACATGGAAATACGCCAATAAAAATGTGTGGAATTCTATTTGTGTACCGATACAAAAATCTCTTAATAATTCCCAGCTCAGCACAAGCGGTTGACTTTTTTTTTTAATGCTTTGGAGTGTTGAATGTGCCATTGTTTCATCATTCAAATAAATAAATGAGATGTTTTGTTGATCTTAAGTTGACCTCTGACCTCGCCTCTGACGTATTTATTATTGTTATTTATGAGCCATATGAAGTGATTAAAATAATGGGTACTTTTTATTCATTGCCAAAAAACATGAAGGATAAAAAATACCCATTTTATGAAGTACTAGTCGAATACTCATTAATGAGTACACTCGTTTATACTCTTTTCATGAGTTAAGCCACTTTTCTTCGAAATGAGTAAAATTTTACTCATTAATGGGTATTTTGAAGTTAGCGTGTACCGATAAAGAAAAAAATAATCTGGCCACCCTGAGACGTTTAATCGTCTTTCTCTATAAATCAAAGTTGGCACTCGTGGAGAATAGAAGAACTATGAGAGTGATGATGTTTTCAAAATTTTACACGGTGAGGTATACGAGTGCAATCTTTAAATGCTTGTATTTTGCAAATGGAGTATTTTATTTAAATCTGGTTAATGCTACGCTAGTAGAAAACTTAAGGACTACCAAATAGACATATAATATAGAAAAAATAATTTCTTTTCAGATTTTTATGTGTAGACATAGATTTCAGCTTTTCTACAACTATAGCAGCAACCAGATTTAAATAAAATGCTCCATTTGCAAAATAAAAGCATTTTAAGATTGCACTCGTATACCTCCCCGTTGGAAAATTTTGAAACCATCATCACTTTCATAGTTATTCTATTCTCCACGAGTGCCAACTTGGATTTGCCAATCCAGCACACAGGGATGAACTAGAGTCGGTGTATAATGAGTCACGCCAAGTCTACCTATTGAACTGTCAAACCGGCTACCTATCGTGCAAAGTAAACAAACATTACGATGCTATGAAAGGTCCACGAAAGGTATTGCAATAAAATATAAAATATAATCGAAGAAATGATCATAAACACGCAGTGATCATTAAATTGTCATGGGATACGTTTGGTAGCGATCATCAATGAGAATTTCTAATATTTTTTGTTGAGATGATTGGACAAAATCACTGATATAATGATTTACAACAGCCACTATTTTTTTTTGCTCGCTGGAAGTCATTTGAAGTTGTTGTAGTAGTCCTCTGTTGCCAAGTGCATGGTGGCCAGCAAACCGGGAAATCCGGGAATACCGGGAAATATCCGGGAATTTGGAAAGTAACCGGGAAAACCGGGAAAAACCCGTGAATTCTGCAAGAGAACCGGGAAAATAAATTAACCATATCATAGGAACAAATTTTTACATCAGAATTTCAGAATAAACCATTAAAACAGAGTGATCCTTTAGCAAATGAATGTCTTGCTCTATTTGTTGCATAATTTTCTTCAGTATACCGTCTTATTGTTTTTAGAATTTAATCACTCAGCAATATTGCAAATTGATTTTTGTCGTTTCAATTTCAGATGTAAAGTGCATGGTCCTCTAAAGAAAATATTGAAGATGCTGGAGTTTGTAAAAACCGAAACTGAATTATTCTTTTCCGGGGTTTTAATTTTTCGTTGTTCAAAATTCTCATGATGAATTCCAGAATTAACTTGGAATTCTGCTCTGAATTATCTTGAAATTGTTCTGAAATAAACCAGAAAACACTCCGCGTAATAATTACCGTTGAATTCTTTTAGGAATTTTCTTCCAACCCCTTCTAAGAATTTATTGGAATCCTTCATATAATTCCCGTTCCCGCCTATCCGGAGACTTTGATTCCTTCAAAAATCTTTCCTATTTTCTTTTAACTCTATTCAAAACAAAAGAAATCTTTCGAAAATTAATTTACAAACCCCTTGGAGTATTTTAAAGAATTTCTTTCTAATTATCAGCCAATTTTTTGGAATCAATTTTGTTTGGGTTATGTGATGAATCATTCGCACTAGGGTTGAAATTATTGCCAGAACATTTTAAGAACTCTGTTTCTTGTTGAATTCCGATCATAATTCTCTTGGAATTCTTCTTAAAATTCATCTGTCATGTTCCTCACGATGCCCATACAAATCTCATCAGAACCACGTAGGAATTTTCTGCAATGTTTTATTTTTATTTTCACAATTCTTTTTTAAATCTACTAAAATTACCTAACAGTTTAATTTAGAACTTGCATTCTTCTCCAAAGAAATCCTTCCAAATTCATCTACCAATTTCTATGGATTTCATAAATAATTCTAAGAATAATTCTGGAAATCTGCTCTTCTCCTTCGAAAACTGTGTGGGAATCCTTCTCAATATTTGTTTTTAATCAACACTTTGAATTCTTTTAAATTTTACTAAAAATTCCAGGGTTTGTCCGCCAGATTCTACAGATTGCTATGTAATTTGTTATTACCCTTAAAATGCTTCCAAGTCTCAGAGCGTGACAATTATGACTCCACGACTCATAACTATGATGTTTTTTTTTTTTATAAATCTGTGATCTTGAAAAAAATTCAAAATTTCACATTTTAATTATTGTTTCTCCAAATCTTGCATCACGAAGCATGTTATTAATCACAAATTTTGAAGAAAAGTTCTAGTTTCAGACTCTACACAAATTTCAAAGCTCCAGAATCTTGGGAATCTTCTTAAATCACATTTTTTTATGCTATCAGTAAATTTTGTTTTTTTTTTGTTGTATATTAACAACCGGGAATTTTTAAGATTTGAACCGGGAAAACCGGGAAAAAACCGGGATTTTCAAAATGAAAATTCACTGGCCACCCTGCAAGTGAAAAGAAATGGAATCTTTCGAAAACCGTGATGCGAGTTCAACTGTTTTTCTCTTGGCGTGACTCATTATTGGCAAATCAAAGTTGGTACTCGTGGAGAATAGAAGAACTATAAAAGTGATGATGGTTTCAAAATTTTCCACGGGGAAGTATACGAGTGCAATCTTAAAATGCTTTTATTTTGCAAATGGAACATTTTATTTAAATCTGGTTGGTGCTATGTTAGTAGAAAACTTAAGGACTACTCAATAGACAAATAATATAGAAAAATTCATTTCTTTTCAGATTTTTAGGTGTACACATAGATTTGAGCTTTTCTACCACTGTAGCAGCAACCAGATTTAAATAAAATGTTCCATTTGCAAAATAAAAGCATTTTAAGATTGCACTCGTATACTTCCCCGTGGAAAATTTTGAAACCATCATCACTTTTATAGTTCTTCTATTCTCCACGAGCGCCAACTTTGATTTGCCAATACACCGACTCTAGGATGAACGGTTCACAGAAATTCAAAACAACCCAAAATTAAGTTCTTTTCACTCATCTCCCATGTTCCGTACGATAAACCAAATTTGGGTAAACCGGCTCAAAGTACACAGAAATTCAAAACAACCCAAAATTAAGTTCTTTTCACTCATCTCCCATGTTCCGTACAATAAGCCAAATTTGGGTAAACCGGCTCAAAGTAGTTTGCATTTAAGCACGGCAAAAAAAATTACCCATCGCTAAGTAATTTTCAATTTTTTCTACCCAAAATTAAGTTCAATTAACTCAAATTTGGGTATATCGCATATTACTCAATTTTGGCTTCTTGTACGGAACTAGACGGTTGAGTCGAATCTTTCGTTCTATTTTTGACAACAATAGCGAGAGGAAATGAAACGGACAGAGGTCAAATAACTCAAATTTGAGTTTAAAAAACCCAAGCGGTGGGTTGTTTTGTTTTTCTGTGTAGTTTGCATTTAAGCACGGCAAAAAAAAATACCCATCGCTAAGTTATTTTCAATTTTGTCTACCCAAAATTAAGTTCAATTAACTCAAATTTGGGTATATCGCATATTACTCAATTTTGGCTTCTCGTACGGAACTAGACGGTTGAGTCGAATCTTTCGTTCTATTTTTGACAACAATAGCGAGAGGAAATGAAACGGGCAGAGGTCAAATAACTTAAATTTGAGTTTAAAAAACCCAAGCGGTGGGTAGTTTTGTTTTTCTGTGTTGGTTTGTTTTCCCACTAAACTGTTTCACTCTTGTTCATACTCCTTCAGTTTAAATGGTGCATTAGTGTCAAAAAGCTCTATAGCTCTTCACTCCAATAGTAAAATCCATAAGCAAACGTCAGACTTCACAAACATGGCGGACTTTGTACTATCTTTTCACTCCCCTGAAAATTCCTATAAGAAGCTGTCAATCTTTGCTAGAAGAGGCGATTTTTCGGCGCTGTCGTCAACGCCAATAGTCAGAAATTAGAAAATAAAAATAGCCATTTCCATTAGATCTTGTGACCCGTTTTGCACTGGTTGGTTGGTTGATCGACAAAGAACACAAATTTCTCAAGAATGTCGTCCAAGGATCGAATTCCGATTTTTCCATCCCGAGGGTAAGTTCCAAAACGAATATTACGTTTGTTTTAATGTAATTTAGTTTTCTTTCTTGTTAACAGTGCCCAAATGCAGATGAAGGCCCGTTTAGCAGGTGCCCATAAAGGTCACGGGTTGTTGAAAAAAAAGGCTGACGCCCTCCAGATGAGATTCCGTATGATTCTTGGCAAAATTATAGAGGTTCGTAGAAAAATCAAAACATTTCATGATATTGGCAAGATTGCATTTGGGTTAACACACGAGGAAGGTCACGGGTTCAGATCCCTTTTCTGGATGAAATGTATTTATTGATCTAAATTTAATTAATAGATACATTTTATTTAATCATAAATGACCTAAACATGTTTTCGATCATCCAAAAGTAGTTTTTTCGTTAGTAGAAACGTAATAAAATTAATGTAATAGCTATGATAAGGTGTTCAGTGTAATCCAATGGGTAAATATGAATACATTTTCATGTCCCAAAGTTCAACGGAAAACCGTGTTTTTTTTTAGATTTTATTTTGTGACAATATAATATTAATATTAATAATAATACAAAACAAAAATAGATACATTTTGCTCTTCAATAAACGTTCATAATAATTCTAGACTAAGACGTTAATGGGCGAAGTGATGAAGGAGGCTGCTTTCTCGCTTGCAGAGGCAAAATTCTTGTCAGGAGATTTTAATCAGGTAGTGCTGCAAAACGTAACCAAGGCACAAATTAAAATTCGCACCAAGAAGGACAACGTAGCGGGCGTCACTTTGCCTGTATTTGAATCCTATCAAGATGGCAGTGATACCTATGAGTTGACTGGTCTTGCTAAGGGTGGTCAGCAGATGCAGAAGCTGAAAAAGAACTACCAGAGCGCAGTTAAACTCCTTGTCGAACTTGCATCTCTTCAAACGTCGTTTGTGACTTTGGATGAAGTCATCAAAATTACAAACAGAAGAGTAAATGCCATCGAACACGGTAAGTACAGCTTAACGAGAAAAGTAAATATCTATACATATGATAGTGAAAGAGAAAGTGTGTTAGTTTTGGCTACAGTCTTTGTATCGAGGGTCAAGTATCATATACATTGTATCCAATCTCATATCTGATCCGTATGCAAAAAGTAGATATTGTACCTTGCAAGATAATTGCGCATAATCGCCTCAGAATGATGAGGATACAATATATGCACAGAGTTTTTTTATCGAAGACAACAATGTTAATGTTATCAAGAAGACTGGGAACTCTTCAATTTTCTCGTACGACCACTATGAGGCAGGTACAAACACATCATCTGCCGCTCAAAGGTAAATGATTCGAACGAATTTGATAGCAAAGATTACATCCTCATAAGAAAGGTTTCTCGAGCAATTTCGGATATCAAAATAATATCAAAACAATATTATTTATCTTCATTTATCACTGAAATCTACATTTTTTATTTATTTTTTCTTACGAGTCAATCAGTATGTTAACTTTTTTCTTCATGAACATCACAAAGAGAATTCAATCTTCGTCGACATTCTCTTTCGTTAATAACTTGATCACAAAACCGTTTCTTGTTGTGTTTGTCGTATTAGATGCTAGATAAAAGCTTCTTTTACAGATCTGTGTGCTGAAAATTCTTAGGAATGTCTTTACATGGCCGTGGATATACAATGAGAAAGTCGACGAAGAGAATCTGTCAATGTTACTTAGGATGTTCAAGTTGAATTATGATTTTTACAGTTATATTTTACAACATGTTTTTATATTAATCTACCTGCAAATTTAATTTACTAATCGATGTAAGATAGATATCGATAGAGCTGATTGAAATATAGGTTTGTTTTTATTTTGAATAAATGAAAACTCATTGATAACATTATTTGATTTTGCATCTTGATATCAACCAATAGATTTAAAAACATTAAGATTACTAAATTTGATATCAAGATATCAAAATAATAACTAATTTAGTATTTTTTATTTTTTTGTTTTCCTACCATAACATATTGATTACTTATTTTGTTTATTATTAACGAAATTACTGATATCAAAGCGCATACAGGTTTGTTATCAAGAAAACATGATTTGTTATGTTTTTAATATCCTTCATATGCCATTTAGATCTCATTTTTGTTATGATTACTGTTAACTCGACCACACGGTAGGCAAAATATGTTCTCACGAACGCTTATATCAAAATATCAAATTAAGTTTTCATTTTGTTTCATTCTCTGCTCGGGGATCCATTATTATTTGTCGATGTGAAAATTTTCGTCTGGCGGAAAATCTTCTTAATAAAGACAACCAGCCAACCAACCAATTATGTGATAATTTCTAAGTGTGTGACTTTTAACAATATTATCTAATCATATGCTTCGTTAATTTTCAGTTATTATTCCACGCATTGATCGTACCTTGGCATACATAATATCGGAGTTGGATGAATTGGAGCGTGAAGAATTTTATCGGTTGAAGAAAATTCAGGTAAAGTATTCAAATTTAAATAAAACATTTCCGTTGTCGATGGAATACGACTTCATAAGCTGATTGATACTCTCCTTGTAATATATTAAGCAAACTTTCCCAAGCAACTCCTATTTTATGTTTCCTATAGTAATCTGGGTAAAAATTCGAAAAACAAAAAAGTTTCGCCATCTTTGAGCATTGAACCATTTACCCGAATGAACTATTTCACAATAATGTTAAGGTGATATGATCCAGCGATCACAAATTTTAGGCACTTGCACTGCCACTTTGAGTTTTCTAGGGAGTTAATCTCGGACTCTATTGCGCTTTCAGCCATTAAATTTACATCACCATATTTGTTGCGTCGCAGCAAACATGTGGAAGCTGTTGTTATTGTATGTTTTCCAGAGGCAGATAATTATCCCATGGAAAATGCGAAGTGGCATCAGAGCCCGGGCTTCTCAATCGTATCACCGTCCGTCTAACATAGAGTAAATTTCTATAGCGATGAAAAGCAGTAACTTTGCAATACACTGGCCCAATTCTGCGCGGCGTGTGAGGTGAGGTGACTCGCTTTCACTTGTGAAGTGACAATTGTCACCTCGCGTGAAGTGACTCTCCATACAAATCAAATTGGAGTGACAATTTTGACTTCACCATAATTTTACTGTGATCTCAACTCACATGCTGCGCAGAATACGCCTAACAAAATGTTAGTTCGGGGGCTCCTTTGGTTCAGTTATTCGTGAGTGTTCAATCTTGAAAGTATTTTTAACAAAAAGCCCAATTAACTTCCTTAAACTTTACTGTTCACAGTTTTTCAATCATACGCATGAGTTAAGATATAATAACATTTCAAAAGAGCGAAAATTGCTCAAATTATTATTATCTCGAAAATAACAACTTTGGGCAATTTAAGCATTATGAGCTTTTTTGTTGTAAATTTAATGTGTTTTAATATTAACACTATTTCAAAGATATTCGATAACTACACGCAGAAAAATGGATTTTTGTTTCAGGGCCTAATGTATTTTATTATTGATTCAAACATATTGTATCACTATTTCAACGAAACATATTTTTGAATCAACAAAATGGTTTTTGGAATCAACAAACAGATTATTGACTCTACAACCGGTTTGTTGATTCAAAAATATTTTTCTTTGAACTAATCGAATAATATATTTGAATCAATACCAAAAATATATTAGGCCCTGAGCCAAAAATATATCCATTTGGTAAAAAAAAATCATTTCTCTGTGTGTATCGGTAGTATTTTGGAAAATACTTATTTTTTTCAATAATTCATAACTTTTTTTAATTATGCTTTGCCCAGCAAATACACAGTGTCAATAGGTATTTCTTTACCTAAGCTACAAAATAAATATAAAAAAAATATTTTAGAAAGATATGCAATTTGAGTAAACATCTCAAAAGGGCGAAAATTTCTCAAAATATGCGATAAGTGAATTTTAACTTACGAGTATCTCGAAAATAACAACTTTGGGCAATTTAAGCATTATTAGCTTTTTTGTAGTAGATTTAATGTGTTTTAATATTAACACTATTTTAAAGATATTCGATAACTGTGGGTGGTATTTTGGAAAATACTTATTTTTTTTAATAATTCATAACTTTTTTGTTTATGATTTGCCCAGCAAATGCACAGTTTCAGTAGGTATTACTTTATCTAAACTGCAAAATAAATATAAAAAAATAATTTAAGAAAACATATGCAATTTGAGTAATTCTATTTTTGTTTTGGATAATTTTGATTTTTTTTTGTAAAAAAAATATATATATATAATGTTTTACAGGAGGCATAACATCTCTGATCACGCCTTCCTTCGGAAGGGAAGTAAAACCGTTGGTCCCCGGTTCATGAGTTGATGAGTCGATAGGTAGGGTCCAGGTGTGGGAGCTGCCTCCCTGGCGTCGGTAGCATTGGTGCTCAGCACGGAAAACAAGATCGACGGAAAACAAATCAAGGAAAAAAAAAAATAATGTTTTACAGTGTATATTTTTTTCTTGGAAGGCACAATACTTGTCCGCAACTTCTTCTAAGACACCATCTCGATCAAACAAATCGTTCACGAGATATATATTTTTTTATTGATACGTATCATTTTTGCATAAGCCTTTTTCAAGTGTTAGTCGTGTGCAAAACTAGGGAACCATATATGTAAAATGGCATGTTGGGCAATAACAAACAACTGTGCAAAGTTTCATCATAATCGTAAAAGGTCGATCCGAAACGATTTGCGAATCTGTATGGAACTGCTTAGTTACCGACTGAGCTACAAGTGCATTGAGCATTATTTGTATAATAATTATGAGCACTATCCCGAGCAAAGTCGGATATCAAATAATGTTTTTGAAACCATATATATATATTTTTTGTGGTATCACAGTGGCAGCAACTTGCTTAAACTCTACACTGGACCCCTTTTATTGATAAATTTTGCTTCTATGAGCCTCTATTTTAAATCAACACACAGACGTTCCTAGGCTATGGTGCCCGTTTGGTCACTGTTGTTTTTGTGCTGATCCAAATAGTTTTAATAATATAATTGCGCATTCTTGTTTTTTTTAAAGGTTGATTTTTGTCCCAGTCTTGTCTTCTGTCGTCACTTATTTTGTCATTTTGTCTTGTGTATTAACCCCCACTTGTCTTGTTTATTGTGTCAACTTGTGTCTATTAATAGACACAAGTTGACACAATAAACAAGACAAGTGGGGGTTAATACACAAGACAAAATGACAAAATAAGTGACGACAGAAGACAAGACTGGGACAAAAATCAACCTTTAAAAAAAAACAAGAATGCGCAATTATATTATTAAAACTATTTGGATCAGCACAAAAACAACAGTGACCAAACGGGCACCATAGCCTAGGAACGTCTGTGTGTTGATTTAAAATAGAGGCTCATAGAAGCAAAATTTATCAATAAAAGGGGTCCAGTGTAGAGTTTAAGCAAGTTGCTGCCACTGTGATACCACAAAAAAATATATATATGGTTTCAAAAACATTATTTGATATCCGACTTTGCTCGGGATAGTGCTCATAATTATTATACAAATAATGCTCAATGCACTTGTAGCTCAGACAATTGTCCTTCCCCATCTGTTTTTAAACTCGTTCTGTTACTCTGTCATGACTAATTTCATTGCTATACAGTGGTGACCCAATTTTGTCAGCCCCCGATTTTGTCTACCCCCGATTTTGTCAGCCTATATGATTCAATTAGTTTTGGTTGAGGTGGACTGTTTTGTACCTCCATATCTCAGTATCGATGATGACACGCTGGCCAGAAGACGCCTCTTGATACTGCTGGGACCAGCGTTGTTCGGCATGATTCTAGCTATCGTGTTAATGGCCTTCGAGGCCTTCTCACAGGCATATTCGACGTGACTGTTGAAGTTTAGCCGGTCATCGATCATCACTCCCAGGTATTTTAACACACGCTTCGAGGCTATGGTGTGCTCCCCGACGGTGATTTCTGCCCGCTGTACCGCTTTACAGTTACTGACCAATAACACTTCCGTTTTGTGGTGGGCTATCTGCAGCTTCGCTCCTTGCATCCAGTTACCAATCATATCGATTGCCTCGGTTGACAACAGTTCCACCTCTTCCAGCGTCTCGCCTGTTACCGTCAAGACGACGTCGTCCGCAAAGCCAACGATCTCAACTCCTTTGGGCAGTTTCAGCGTTAGCACGCCGTTGTACATTCCATTCCAGAGCGTTGGACCAAGGATGGGGCCTTGTGGGACTCCCGCTGTGATCCTAATCGATCTCAGTCCCATGTCTGTCTCGTAGACCAGAACCCGGTTCTGGAAATAACTTCTCAGGATACTGCACAGGTAGTCAGGGACCCTCATTCTATGCAGTGCTTCGGCGATGGCCTCCCAGCTGGCGCTGTTGAACGCATTCTTGACGTCGATCGTTATCACGGCGCAATATCGATCTCCTCTCCGCTTCTGTTTGGACGCCTTCTCAGCTCTCTCGACCACTGTCCGAATTGCATCCACCGTCGATCTCCCTTTCCGAAATCCGAACTGCCTCTCCGACAATCCGTGCTCACTCTCCGTGTATTTCGTCAGTCTGTTTAGGATGATCCTCTCCAAAAGTTTTCCGAGTGTATCCAGCAGGCATATAGGCCTGTACGATGCTGGATCCCCCGGCGGTTTTCCTGGTTTCGGCAGCAACACTAGCTTCTGTATCTTCCACCTGTCAGGGAAGTGACCCTCGTTCAGGCATTTCTGCAGCGCCATCCTGAACATGTCCGGGGATGACTGGATCGCAGCTTTCAACGCTACGTTAGGGATTCCATCCGGACCGGGAGCTTTCTTTACCTTCAATCCTTTCGCCACTGCTACGAGTTCCTCGTTGGTGACTTCGACGTTATCTCCCTCTCCTTCTCCGTACGCTGTAGGTGGCCAGGTTGTTGGGTCGTGCTTCGGGAAAAGTCCTTCCACGATGACTTTCAGCTTCTCTGGGCACATTTCAGCGGGCATCGTTGGACCTCTGATCTTCGCCACCACGACTCGGTATGCGTCGCCCCAGGGGTTGGCATCAGCGTCTCGACACAGCTCCTTAAAACAGTTCAACTTGCTCTGCTTAATCTTTCGTTTGTGTGCGGCCCTGGCCGCTCGAAACACTTCTCTTCGTCCCTCTCTGTCTGCTTCCGTTCCTGCTCTCTGAACACGTCTTCTGGCTCTGAGACAACTAGCGCGGAGAGTGCTAAGTGCCTCGTTCCACCAGTAGACTGGACGCCGTCTGTTATTTGGCTCCAGTTTCCTCGGCATGGTCGTGTCACATGCTCTCACTAACGTTTCTGTCAGCTCGTTCGCATTCAGATCTGTGGGACTCCAGTCCACACGAAGTGCCTCAACGAACAGATCCTTGTCGAAAGCCTTCGTCTTCCACTTGCGGTCTCAAGTTCTCGTCCTCCGTACTGCCACAGTATTCCGTTGGCACACTCTCCAATCTATGTTTGCCATCAGCGACGGACTGCA